GACCATAAATATCAGAATATACCAAATCAAGTATATTCAATTTTCTTTTAGACGATGTCTGAAATGAGACTCTATGCTGCTTACCAAATAAACAGTAGTCACAAGGTTTTATCGTTGTTTCTTTGGCATAAGAAATGAGTGATTTCTTGGAAAGAATCTGCAATCCCTTCTCGCTTATATGACCCATCCTTTTGTGCCACAAATCTGCAGAAATCTCATCTTGTGCCACGTTCAATTCACATTGGCATATTTCTGTATTTTTCCTGTACAACGTTCTACGAGCAACTCCCTTTGCAATCACCAATGATCCCTTGGTGAGTCTCCACTTTTGATTTGCAAAATAGTTCTCGTATCCATCTCGGTCTAAAGCATTTTCCAATGATCAAGTTCATCCGCAAATCAGGTACATGTCGCACGTCCTTTAGAACCAATGTGCATCCGACATTTGTCTTGATACAAATGTCACCGATCCCCGTAATTTTTGAGTAACTTGTGTTACCCATTTTCACAAGGCCGAAATCACGTGCTACATATCTGCAAAAAAGATCTCTTACCGGTGTGGCATGGTAAGATGCTGCTGTATCAACCACCCATTCCGACTCTGGACCTGATAAGTACATGCATTCCTCTTCTTCGTTTATATAGAGGACAACATTATCATTGTTTTGCACCATGGCGGTTGTGTTGTCGTCATTCATCTGGCCACTAGTTTCACCTTTGCCTTTCCTTGAATTTGGGCAATCTCTTTTGAAGTGACCTCATTGATGACAATTGTAGCAATTTCTAGCTCTTGATTTGGATCTGTTCTTAGACTTCCCACGAGCTACAGATCTACCATAGTTGCTCGAACTCCTTTGATAACTTCTGCCTCTACCTTTTATGATGAGAGCATGTCCTTGATTTTTAGGCTTCTTTCTTATCTTCTCATTGAGTAGAAGAGATGATGTGACATCTTTCAACTCAATGGTAGTCTTACCGTGCAAGATGGTTGTTACCAGATTATCGTACGAAGATGGCAACGAGTTCAACAACAAGATGGATTTATCTTCTTCCTCGATTTTCACTCCGAGATTGGCGATCTGTGTGATTAGTCCGTTAAATACATTTAAATGTGACAAAAAATTCGTACCTTCACCCATGTGTAGAGCGTATAACTGTTTCTTCATGTACAATTTATTTATTAGCGTTTTGGACATGTATAGGCTTTCCAACCTTGTCCAAATGCCACGTGCGGTGTCTTCATCAATGATGTTATTTACCACATCATCTGATAAGTGCAACTTGATTGCACAAGCATCCCTTTCATCCAAGTGATCCCAATCCTCAGCTTTCATGGTATCAGGCATTTTGGCATCAATATCTAGTACCTTGTGTAATCCTTGTTGGATGAGCAGATCTCTCATCCTTCTTTGCTATATTGATAAATCGCTATCTCCGTTAAATTTTGCTACCTCGTACTTTACTCCGGACATTTTTGTTTTTCACCGAGTATAGTACTACCGACAGTGAATAGTATTTTCGTGAACGAGCAGAATCTGTGCTCTGATAATAGTTGTTGGGAGTAAACCTCCCACAAAAATAATAGTTCCGGTACTAAAAGCGGAATAATAATATAGCACCGAGATTTGGTAATTAACAAGAATAAAAGAGTGACAACGACACCAAGATTTTTACGTGGAAAACCCTTTTGAATAAGGGAAATACCACGGCCCTGAGAGGAGCAACTGATATCACTATAGTAAAGAATTTTATACTTTGTAGGTCCGAGTAAAATACTCCAAAGACCACTACAACACTCAAAAAAAATAACTCTCTTTTGATATTCTCACCTCACTACAATATCGCCTATTTTCTATTTTTTTCACATACTATTTTCTTATACTTTGTCTGTGATGCCTCACTCTTTCTTTCTCTCTTTGTTGGTATATTTTACAATGAGAGCAAGACACCTATTTATAATGTTTAGGATTGCTTCATTGATGTCATCAATGATCTCATGAGTTTGGCAAGAGTCAAATATTCAATGTGAAACCAAAAAAATATTTGCTATAAAATCTTCTTTACTATTCCTTTAGTTGGCTTGACATTTCAAAGCCAAAAGAAAGATGTCTTCCTTACACATGGGATAGACCCATCACGAACAACTCTTTTCTTAAACGACTCTTCATCTGGATGAAACAGAGAAGCAATGAAACGAGGATTTACTAAAACAATAGCTACACAATGAATCATCACAAGAACACTGTATATAGCTGGATCTTGGAGTTGCAACAAAAACGGAAAATATATGCATCTTTAGCAAATACTTTTTACATGTTGGGTAAATACTGGGAACAGGGGAGAAGCTACACTTTCAATTGACCACTAGGAAAATTACTTAAAATATATCAAGTTTTAGAGGGATATTGCAGTAGCATCATCCTTACTGTTGATACCTTCCTTTCAAAGTTTCCACACTAAAAAAGTATTAAGCATATACGTGACGCAACCCACTAAAAAGATTATTTATAGGAAGTAGATAGAGACAAATTAAAATGTTATGTTGGCAGGTTACATTAAAGAAGAACAACCAAACAATGCGTAGTTCTAATTGCGTGATTGACTGTTATTAGTTGCTAAATTGGAGATAAGTACAAAGCTCATCAACTGAGATGACTATTCAAAAAGTTCAGACATAAAGAGATGCGGATTCAAAATTTAAAATTTACGGATTCTTACAACAAACTCAAGTTAATATATAATAATAATCGAATTAAGCTTTTTGTGGCCTTACACGTACCGGCTAAACTGGAGAGAATGTTGTCTAAGAGTATCTCCAACGCCAAGAGCGTCCAGTGCCCTCCAGGCGTTGGTCCATAAAGCAAGGGCAAATCCTGATGTTCGCAAAGAGTCTGATGATTCCAACACTAAGCTCCGCAACCCCAGCCTAAAGAACAAAATAACCATCAGTAATTCTATCAAAAACACGTACGTAAATACCATGCACCAAAATATATAACCATATATAGGCGAATTTATTTGGTGTCGAAGTCATGTGCTCAACTAAATCCATTAGATCATTACTTAAAGTAATGAGGTTGTATCAAAAAAGTGAATCCATTACTTTCATCAGCTTGAATTATGTATAGATGGAAAGAATTTTACTATGTAATAAGATCATACACTTGTTAATTTATATCATAAATTACCTCTGATAATAACTTATTCCTTATCATTTTATGTGAATGTGTTTAATTAACGGTAACCGAGTTTAAAAAAGAAAAAAGAAAAACTTTTGAAATTTGTGTTCTTAAACATTTTATGATATTTCTGTGGCTATAAAACCTTGTCATTAAGAATAAATCGAGAAATTAAAGTTAAACTATTTCTAAATATAAAATTGTATCATAACATTTTAATCAGACTAAGAAGTAAAACATAAAATGGAACATAGCATACGTGACCGTTAAATATGACACACAAAAATTGGTACACCCGCCGTCCCAATTTACGCGGCAGTGTTTGACCGGAACAAAGTATGAACACATAGTTTGGACAAAGTACTTTCTAGGGTATATTGCTCTTTTCGTACTCTTTCTATACCTGTGAAGTGCCAAAGAAGTGGCAAGTCCAGCAATTCCAGCACCTACTATGACAATGTCCTCATTTATCTCCATTTGCTCCTTTTGTGGCTGCATGCTGCTTTGGCTGGTGGTATTCCTGCTATATTATAGTAGTTCTCCAACTGATAATTGATTATTAAACTTTCATGGACATTCCTTGTTGTAAAAATATTGAAGTATGCAGAATATGATTTAGGCGTGTCAAGGACACTGTTCTTAAAGATATTTTGCCCACACCGTGATGAATATTATTAGGTGTATCCCCTAAAATTCAACAAGCTCTTCTAGTATAACTAGGAGCAGAAACAACAAAGATTAATCAGAAAAAAAATTCAGCAAAAAAGAAAAGGGAAGAAAAGTTTTAAGTTTGTTCACTCTACTACAAATGAACACAAGCAGATACCTTTATATATAGTCCAAGGAGATGGACGTATGATGTAATGAAAAACGTTAAAATCCATCTAGGATTCAATGCCAAAACGTCAAATTCATTTAAGGCAATCAACGTTAGAATTATTTAAGACCAAAGAAACATTATTATCAAAGTTAAGGAAATGTTATCAAAATCAACGTTAAGGAAGCGGTCATACAAGACCAACTTTGGTTAAATTCAAAGTTACAAAAAAATAATTGATTTTGATACCCATTCAATGTTAATAAAATATTATATTTAAAGCTATTCTAATGTATTATACACATCAAAATATATTCAAATTGATTGGTCTAATAAAGACCCATTAAAAGAATGAACCTAGACATCAATTTGAATATTCTTTTTGAGATATTAAAATTATTATTTTTTAACAATCCTCCACATAGCTCAAAAAGGATATCATAATGAAAAAAAAAATTGGATTTTCACAAATGAGCATAATGCGTCGAATCTGGTATTTCTTGGACTATGAACCAGACCTGTATATAATAAGATTAAACTTACAGAACAATTGGTGAAGTTCAAAACTTCTATGAACCAAGAATTCTTTTGTAAGTTTAGTGTCTTATCTATCATATTATACCTCCACACACTTGGTTGTTTATTGCGGTTTTGTGCTAATAGGCCATGCGTGCACCTGGTTTTCGTAAGTGCTCTAGAATATTTGTTTGCCATAAATTTCATAGGAGCGGCCCCACTCCACACTCATATGATCCATCCATCAAGTGTATTCTGCAGTAGAATACACCACCTATAAAAGGCTATGGATTATTAGATTAAGAGTTTAATAACTCAGCCTCCCATTCCTTGCAGTCTTGCAATATATATACACTCTATAGGAAGGGACATAATTTAATAGCGCACATTTGATCAACTAATGACTTGTTATTACCCATATGAACCTATTTCATGGGATCTTCAATCACATAGGTTGAGTTACCATCACTATTGATATAACTCAAATTGGCAATAGTCACATTCCCCTTGATGTTTTAGAGATTAATTTTCTTCTCAAAGGTTTAGTCAGAGGATCGGCTAAATTCACTTCTAACTTCACATTATCTATGGAAATAATTCCATCTTTCAGCAGTTGCTTTATCACATTATGTCTCAATCAAATGTGCCTACTCTTCCCATTGAAGAATTTATTTTTAACAATGGCTATTGTAGCTTGGTAATCACAATGCATCGACACAGAAGATGTCGGTTTTATTCCTAGTGGAATACTTGCCAAAAGGTTCTTTAACCACTCGACCTCATTGCCAGCTAATTCCAATACAATAAACTCAGATTTCATGGTAGATCTATCTATTATTATTTGTTTAGCTGATTTCCATGCCACAACATCCCCACCAAGGGTGAACACATAACCACTAGTGAATTTTGTCTCATCTGAATCAGAGATCCATTTAGCATCACTGTATCCTTCCAGTACAGTGGAAAATTCACTATATTTGATACCATAATTCATGGTACCTCTCAAATATTTCATTACTCTTGCTAATGTATTCCAATGATCTTGACTCGGATTTTGAGTATATCTACTCAATCTACACACAACATATGCAATATCAGGTCTAGTAAAATTCATCAAATGCATTAGGCTACCAATAATTTGAGCATATTTATTTTGATCTACAACATCTCCTTTATTCTTTTTTAATTGACTACTAGCATCATAAGGAGCGCTTACATGTACCACATCAAAGCAATCAAAATTTTTAAGAATTCTTTCAACATAATGTTCTTGAGTCAACATCGAGCTTTTGTCATCTCTTATAATTTTCATGCTTAAAATAATACTAGCTTCTCCTATGTCTTTCATCTCAAAATTAGAAGACAAGAAAAAATTGATTTTATGTACCAAATCAAGACTAGAACTAAAAATAAGCATGTCATCCACATAAAGGAAAATAATAACACATGTACCATCTACACATTTTGTATAAACATATTTATCTACTTCAATTGATGAAAAATCATCATTAATCAATAATTGATCAAATGTTTCATGCCACTATTTAGGTACTTGCTTTGGACCAAGCAATTTACATACTTTGTTTTCTTGGCCAGATACCTTACAACCCTCAGGTTGCTCCGTGTAAATTTTCTCTTTTAAATCACCATTTAAAAATACAGTTTTAACATCCATTTGGTGAATAAAAAGTTTATAAATAGAAGCCAAGGCAAGTAATACACATATATTGGGCCGAGCCTTATTGCCTTGAGTTGTTGGTAAGTTATTTGAGAAACGGTAAAGTTATACTCACCTTGTATTCACATACTGTATCGTAAGCTTGTGTCTCGTAATTCGATAAATCCCTTCCTTTCTTGTGGAGCGGGTCGAATGCCTCAGCGAAATTATGTACCGCACTCTCGTAGGAGTGGGTCATTCGCCTCGGCAGTATAATAGATGTATCTATGGTTTGTGCCGCTCGACCCTCGGTAGTGTACGCGATATGATAAGATCAGGTCGATCGGCACGGCAGTATCATACTCTTTCTGAGATCTGGCCGCACTACCTCGGCATAATCATGCGTTATATTGCTAACAGTCCGAATATTCGCGAGATTTTTTGTCCACTGATGCCTTGCATTTTATATGGTATTTCTTATCCGTTTGTTATTGACACTTAATATTTTTGAGTTGTTGAGATAGAATACGAGATTGGGAAATTGATATCGTTAGAAAGAAATTTTGGAAGATTGTGTTAATTACAGTTTCACCTCACTACTAATGTTGTGCTTCTTATTTATTTATGATTGACCATGTTGATTTATTGGACCACTAGTAAGTGTCGATGTCGACTTCTCGTCACTACTTCTCCGGGGTTAGGCTAGATACTTATTGGGTACGCGTTAATTTACATACTCATGCTGCACTTCTGCACTAAATGTGCAGGATATGACAAGTTCATTTGGTGATCATCTTGGCGCGTAGGCGCAGCTATTGAGGGGAATTTATATGAGCTGCATTTCAGGCTACGCATCGTAGTACATAGAGTCTCCATCGTATTATTTAATTTATTCTGTCCCATTAACATTCTAGACATATGTTGTATTATTATTGTACTTCTTAGTAAATGCTCATGTACTTGTGATACGAGGTTTTGGGGTATACTAGTTGATGCTTGTATATTATCATCGCCTATCACTTCTCTTTAAAAACTACAATTTTGTACATTCCCATGGATTTAAAAGTGTAAATTATTTTTTAATTTGTGATTTCGAAAGTAATATAATGAGTAATTAAATTGATCAACCATTGTTGGCTTGCCTGACGGCGGCGTTAGGTACCATCACGACCTATAGTGGATTTCCAGTCATGACAACTTGGTATCAGAGCTCTAGGTTCACTTGGGTCTCATGAGTCATGAGCAAGTCTAGTATAGTCTTGCGGATCGGTACAGAGACGTCTGTACTTAGCTTCGAGAATCTACATGGCTGTAGGAGCACTTCCCTTCTTGATTCCTCATCGAGCGATTTGATTCCTTTGAGGCTTATGCCTTTATTTCCTTCCTACTCAATCTTATGCAATATGGATCTCTTTTTAACAATTAGGCATTAAGGAGTTGTAGTGGTACTTCAGATGTGGTGCAAGATGTTTTCCCTGCGTACTCGAGCGAGTTACTATCGTCGTCTTGTGGAGGGCCGTTCTGTTATTTCATGCCTTGTATTAGTATTGCCTATGGTTTTGAGGCTATGCACATATTGCTATGATGTTCATGCATTGTTATCGCGCAGTGTTGGCGTAATGGTAGGGTGCTTGTCGGTGTGTCGAGGCAGTGAATAACTTGAATGGAGGATTTCTCAGTGCATGGTTTAGGGGTTCGGCATTTAATTCCAGCGGGGGGAAAGACAATCGGTCTATGAATGTTCAGGCTTTGGTTGATGGAGTAGCGAGACTTGATATTTTCGAGCGTGGGGGAATTCTCATTTGCGACGTGGTGTCATCATCCTTGATTGAACGCATTAAGGTTCGCCGATGTTATGGTCTTCTTTGATTTGCCTTCGAGGTAGGGTGTTGTGAAGTGGTGCCTAAGAAGCGATTGTAAGAGATAGCGGAGTTTAGCGGTTTCAGAATCGAATTGGTATTTTTAATGTTGCTCGAGAAAGATGATCTTCTAGGAGGTTTAGAGTTGGTAGCAATTTATTAGTTCGGGTGCTATATGTATGTATTTGGGTTGAGGCAACATTTGGGCAGCGAAGTATAAGGAAAGACATGGTGGGAGGTGTCTCGCGGTGGTTGAATTACAAGCAGGTAAAGTCTGAAAAGTAGAGGTCGAAAAGTTGCTCAAAAGATAGTGTTTAACCAAAGTGAGAGTGGCAGATTATCATATGGATTCTGTAGTAGAATAGCCACGTGCCTTCAGAAAAGTTTAGAAAGATTTGGGAATCGTGGTGGGAGGTGACTAGGTCCACGAATTTTTATTTAAGATGGAGGCTGCTGTACCGAGGATGATTGAATATGGCAAAGAGGAGTTTGCTTGAAATGGAGAGGGGTGTGAAAACTTGATTATCGTTTTTGGATGCAACATGACTTCGAGTTTGGAGCGTATTGTCAGACTTTAAGTCGATGTCAATGGGGAATGATCATACTTGTATAACTGATGGACGAGTATGTGCTCAGGAGGGTTTACTGAATTCGTGATAGTTGTACCTAGTGCAACGTCGTTGGAAGATGTCGGCATGTAATTCCACAGGTGGGTTATCTCCTGTGAGAAGGTTAGTGGTTGCAAGTTTCTACGAAGAGTTATACTTACTACCTAATAGGAGATCGAGTGTGCGATTGTGGCTGATAATTCATAATGTTTATGAAAAGCTTAGCAAACGATTTCGAGAAATTTGGTGTGCTAAAGTGCAAGATCATGGTGATTGAGAAGGATAAATCTTTGTAGGTTCTAGATTTATGTAATTGTAGCTTAAAGCTAAGTGGGGGAG